AAATGATGGTGTCAGTGGTCAAGGATACCACCACCTTGGGCAAAATCCTAATTCAAATGGTCTGGGTCAGTCCTTGACCCGGGCAGCGGTGGCTTAAATTAAAATCAACAAAAAGGCAGAGTATATACATATAACATAAATGAACTCCAAAGAAAGCCCTTGGCCCTCAGGGCTTTCATCCCTACGTACTTTCTTTCCTTGTACTCCAGGAGGCTTTACGAAGCTCAGAGCCAGCCTGGTGCTAGTGTAACTCACACACCTCTTGGGTGTGGTGCTCTGTCCCATCTAGTGGCACCGAGACCACTTAGAGAGAGATTAATGAGTCTGCTCTACAACTTTAGCTAAGAGCCATGTGGCTTTTGGCTCATACAGCAGAGGCTCATGCATTTAGCTCCAAAGGTCCCAGGATCATCGACGACCGGTGTCTGTCGGTGTTATATTAGCTCCTGTGGCAGAGTTGTTGCTCCCTTGAAGTCTCAAACTTTTCAGTCCTCTCTCTTCTTGTTTCTCCCTCTTTATACTTGGGCTTGCCCACAGTAGCTGAGAGGTTTCTCCCATAACTGAAATTTCTCACAACCGAGCAGTGGCATGGCTGGTTTTCCTGTCTGCAGGAAAGGTGGATTCTCAACCACTGCCTGCCTGTGTTTTGTGTGATATCTGTAGATCCCATCCCAAGTGGCATTTGAAAACCTTATATTCACCCCCCTTCTGTTAGGGAAAAAGTGACCGACTTCCAGCTGCCTTTTAAATTCTGTAATGTGTCAAGAACTCAAGACTCCCCTCTTAAACTATGCAAGATTAATGATCAGTTACACTCTGATGGGTAGGGAATATGTGCATCTTTGTTTTTACTTAAGGACCTATAGAAACCATTGCCTCCTTTCTGGAGAAGTTTTAAAAAGATCCTTGATTTATGCCATTAGGCCTCAATTTAAGCAGCACTTGAGCACATGCCTACCTAAGCATATCAGTAGTTTGATTGACTTTAGTGGGACTACTCACTTACTTAGACTTAGGCCTTGTCTACACTAGCAAGCTTACAGTGGCACAGCTGAACTGATGCAGCTGTAAGATCGCTCATGTGGCAACTCTATGCTGATGGGAGAGAGCTCTCCAATCAACATAATAAAAACACCTCAATGAGTGGCGATAGCTATGTGGTGGGAGAAGCTCTCCCACCGACATAGCGCTGTGCACGCTACCACTTATGCTGGCGAAACTAAAATTGCTCAGGGGTGTTTTTTCATATCGATATGGCCTCAGACACATGTCTAAGAACATGGCAGAAAGGGAGCCTTAGTTTTTGACTGAGCCTTGACTCAGATGTTCTGCCTCATTACTCTACCTTTTCTAGCTGTTCAGGGGTAGGAAGTAAGCGTTTCAGAGGGAGCAGACCACTGGGGTCTGCTGGTGCTAGGATATGCCCTCTGCATCTTGTATGGTGAACACCAACGACGTGACAAGGACAATCTTTCCAAACGCTGAAATTAGTCACAGAGCAAGCCTGAATGAAAGTGTGTGTCTACGCTGCAATTAAAAACCTGCGGCTGGCCCGTGCCAGCTGACTCATGCTCACGGGGCTCAGGCTAAGGGGCCATTTAACTGCAGTGCAGATGTTTGCGCTCGGTCTGGAGACTGGGCTCTAGGACACTGCAAGGTGGGAGGGTCCCAGAGCTTGAGAGTCTACACCATAGTTAAACAGCCCCTTAGCCCAAGCCTCACAAGCCCAAGTCAACTGGTGTGGGCTAGCCACGGGTGTCTAATTGCAGTGTAGTCATAACTTGTTCAAGATTGATATGTTCTTAGGGTAAGAATAGAACAAACTGGGGTCCTCTTCCTCTCCAGGATACAAGCACACATATACAGTGCTGCTAGAGAGCCAAAACAAAAACTGTTCCTATTCTACTTCAAATATAAAAATAACTGTCTGCTTCACATATGAAACAGAGCATGGAGACTAGTTTAGCTTACACTACAATTCTTATTTTCCTTTCTTTAGTAATGGCAGAAGGGGAAAAGACATCTTTTAATACAATCTTCCTAATGTGCCACAGAACACAAACAATTTAGTGGTTGGAAACATGTTTACTTATTGACTGATTACTGAGATAGAAATCTAATCCACGCTGTAGCTCAGTGTTCACTGGCTGCTAGCTACTTTCTAACTTGTACCAGGGTTCCCACTAGTAATATCAAAGTAATGGTCACTTGTCCTCTCCATCCCCTAATATATGAAGAAACAGAATGTGGTGCATCTTCTGACAGTGCAATCACTGACCAAAGACCTTTCAGACATTAGAAATAGGCATCCCCTCTGCAGCAGACCTACACAGCTGTGATTCCAAATATTGTTAAAACAATCTTTTAGGCTGTCATTAAGTAAGGCCTGGATCCTGCAAGCAGTTCCATATGGGTGGACCTCTGCACGCACGTGAGCACTGTAAACTTGAATGAGACTCTGCTTGGATATAGGGCCAGTGTGGTACAGATTGCAGGATTGGGAGCTTGATTAGTATGTCAATAAATATCAAAAGACAACATAGTGTCTCTAAACTTATACAGAAATTAAATGTTACATGCAGTAGTGTTGCAGCTATGTTGGTCCTAGGATATGAGAAAGACAAGGTGGGCGAGGTAATATCTTTTACTGGACCAACTTCTCTTGGTGGAAGGTACAAGGCTTTGAGCTCTGAACATTACTTCTGCCAACAGAATTTGCTCCAATATTACCTCACCTACCTTGTCTCAGTAATTAAAGACATTTTAAACTAAAAATTGTATACAGGATATTCTAGTAGTATTCTGACAAACTGAAAAAAGGGAAAAATTAACTAAAATACATGAATAATGATCAACATCAATGAATACAGACACTTCAAGAGAAATACATACGCTAATTTAAACAAAAACTATGATGTTACACAATGATAGATCATTTCATAGGTTAATACCACCACTGCGCATAATCTTCCTGATGTTTAACTTATCATATTGTCAGTTTCTTGGAAGGAATAAAGTAGTAGTTTTTCCTCAAAGAAACCAAGACTGCAATGAAAAACATATGTCTACAGAGAAATATTCTCAACAGTAATCTTTGTAATTTTATACTACTATCAAATGTGTTTAAAGACAATGAAAATTGGGGCTGAGTTAATTTTTCCAGAGTCATTCAGACATGAAGTTTAGATGCTGAGATGACTTTGTTGTCAACTACAAAATCGGATCTTGAATATATCTTAACAATAACTTATTTATCATGCTCTGTAAATTAGATATGTTTGCTTAAAAGTTTCCATGGGCTGTTTCATGAAAACAAAACTAAGAAAAAATACTTCACTGCACTGTACTAATATGGTCAACACAAGACAAGTGATACAGCTCTGGAATGATATGAAAAGCTCATGCTCTGTCCTGAACTCTTCCATAAAAAGGCTGCATCACACACACCAAAATGTCTGAGACCACTGAAGTCAATGGAAGTTTTCCATTGACTTCTACGGGGCCAGGATTTCTCTCTAAAAAAACATTGATTTAAAGCACTCCTTTACAAGTATAGTCAGGCTAAAATTGTTAAATTTTGCAATTTTTTTTAAAGGAAGCATTTTGTCTCTAAAAACAATAAAATTCAGTACAGTTTGATTAGGAGGGGAAGTAGCAAATGTAGGCTTCGATTCAGCAAGCTACTAAGTGTGTGCACAACTTAAAGTGTGCATAAGTTAGTTCCACTGAAGTCAATATAATCTTGCTGAGGCTTAATTTATCACATTGTCAGTTTCTATTAAGTTAGAATGAATTAGTTTTTCTCAGAAAAACCAAGGCAGTGGCAAAACAGAAGTCTAGGGAGAAGTATTCCCAGCAATAATCTTATAATTCTACCAAATCTGTGGAAAAACAATGCATTTTGGGGCTGTATTACTTTTCCACGAGAGACAAGGTAGGTGAGGTAATATCTTTTATTGGGCTAACTTATGTTGATGAGAGAGACAAGCTTTTGAGCCACACAGAGCTCTTCGTGTAGGCTCAAAAGCGTGTCTCTCCCACAAACAGAAGTTGGCCCAATAAAAGACAATACTTTCACCCTCTTTGTCTCTCTAATATCCTGGGACCAACAGGGCTACAACTCTTACTTTTCTAAGATCATTCATGTATAGTGTTTAGATTCTAAGGAGACATCTTTGAAGTCAGCAAGGTATTTAAGATTGTATGCAACTCAAGTCAATGGGGCTACTCGTGTGCCTAAAGTTATGAGCATGCTTAAATAACGATGTGGTAATCAACAACAAACACCACCACCACTACAGTTTCATTAAAATTTTCAGTGAAGTTTTTAAAATTAATTTTTTATTTTAAATCAAATTTTAATCAAGATTGTAAAAGCCAACTGCTTTGTATCAGCTCAGTGCTACATCATAGTACAGTGTAACTGGAATGAAAGCAGCATACAACATATTTCTGCATTACATTTCATATAAATGGTATTTTAGTAGGAGAACTGGATAGTCCAGAAGATTGAAAATAGTATATTGGGCCTTTTACTTCTAAACCACCACTTTAAAACCAGATTAAATTGATAGGGATCAAAAACGATTATCACCTGAAGGTAGCTTTGTGGCCTGTATAAAAAATTTGGTTCACTCACTCTAATTCAGGCTCAGCAAGAGTGCACAGTGAAGAACTAATTGCCATAACAGGAATCCTTTTTGGCAGCCTCAGCAAGGAAACCAAATCCGAATGGATAGGGAGATCGAACTACTCTGTCACCCACAAAAATGGCCCCTATAGAACTTCACATCAGTGAGGGAGAGTGCAGGAGTTTGCATTGCTGCAACCCATATTGTATTTGTTATCTGAATAAACAGAAAACTTCAATTTGCCAATGCAGCTACTTTCACAAGAGCTGAACGCACTTAGGTAATTGTTTTAGAGAGAGGGAAAACACCTTCCATTGAAACTTCTTTTAAGATGATTTTGATATTTATTCTGATTTCTGATATACTCACAGTAGGATTTCCATATTGGAGGCTGGTATTCTTCAGCATCTAGAATTAAAAAAAAGAAGAAGAAATCAATCAATTGGCAACTCAGTCAGACTGTCAACATATGTCTTCTGTAGAGACCACAGCTTGTTAGCAATATTAACATTTCCTTCTCAAGAGAACTGCATGTTTATTTACAGTACAGTTCTAGAGAAGAATATCACGTTAGAGAAGTTAGAGAAGAATATCACGTTCACTACTTATGGACTCAATACCATTTTTACAAATTATTTAAATATGACAGAATTAATTTCTTACCAATTTTCATATAGCTCCTTTGCTCAAATATATTTAAAGTAATTAACTTGATTGGTCAGCTAGGGAGGGAGTTCAAACAGTATTTACTTGGCTTGGCATAATAAAACAAAATATAATTTGATTTCAGATCACGTTTTTAACCTATTTATCAAGGCTTTAAAAGTAAGTAACAAGCCAATAAACATGTGTGACTCAGACTGGACTCAGATGTGTTCAGATCTGATTATTCCAACATGGATGATTCAATTAATTTTCCTACCTTTAATCCAATGTGTGATTTACAAATTTTCCAGAAACTGAATTAGCAATAAAAAAAAAAAGTACAGTGGAAAAACTGCAACTGAATGTAAAAGACTAAAATTATTATCCATTGATGCAAAGAACAGACAAACACAGGAGACAAAAAGCTGACACTCTGTGTTACCAAAAGCATTACATGATGCCCCCAGGAAAGTTGTTTGCAGTGGGAATTGAACCTTAGACTTCAAGATCTAAAATCATGAGCCTTTACTACCTGAACTAAAGGCTGTAGTAGGCTCATATAAATATCCCAGCCACCAGCTGCCGGGGACAGGGTGCAATACTGACTGGGCAAGCCAGCTACACCCTGGGCTAACAGACTTGTGTATTTTAGTTTAGTTCATGCTTTAATATCCAGAGATCCCAGAATATCCCACTGTCAACAACCTACCCAGCTTGAATACTAACAATTAAATAAACAGCTATTTCTAAAAGGGTCACGTATACTAGTTTGGCACTAAACTGTCATATTGCTAAACACTGTAAACAGTCATGTAGGGGCATATCATTAATCTTCCAAATAAAAAGATGCAAGCTAATTAAAATATTTGGTATTTACTAAACTCCCACTCGAGTTATGCTAATGTAATTAAATTACATTTTAATAGCTTACTCTCCGTGTCTATTTATAAATACACACATTTTATATACCTCCATGAAAAAATTTGTTTACTGGAAATGTTAATGATTAACTACAGTATGCCACTTTTAACTACTTTGTTTTTAAAAAGAGAAAACCTAGCAATTATCACAGTTATTGCCTGGGATGATAATCTGTAACAATTCGCAGATATATTGCTCTTGAAGTCCACTAGACTTGAATTTCAAATAAATCCACTTCATCTGTTGTAGACAACACTGCCAAATTTAAATGGCTCTCAAACCAAAAGAGGTACATATATTAGAGCAATCCGAGGGTAACTAGCTTTCTACTTCATTATAATTGGTAATTATTTTTATATTATGTGAAGACATTAATATGAAAACAGTGAAATGTATTTAAATTTCAAGTAGAGACAAACACTCATTTTTCCCTATGAGATTACAATTCTCAATACATTCTTTTTCCAGGTCTTCTGTATAACTGGTTCTTCACATATTGTTCAACACAATGCAATTTAATAACATGAGCCACATACAATACATTGTCAAAAACTTTATTCTCTTCTCTGGTCTTTGCATACACAGGATCAGTGGAGAAACACTGTCTGACATACAAAATAGCTGAGGATCTGGCCCCAGGCATTTTATTACTGAGTTTACACCCACCTCCATGGCTTGCTTCCTAAAAATTTTCTGCATTTCCCAGAACACAACAAAATCTGCTTTACTAATTGAGAAATATTTTCCATTAACCTCTTTAACCATTAAGGTAGCAATTATTGGTTTATCTATTATATTGATCTGGGGAAAAGAAAGCCTATGAATTGTTGGGTGAGAAAGTACACACAGTTTGGACAGATGGAAAGACACAGGTACTAGAACTAGGGGTGATGGGGGTGTGGCATCACCCCAGGTCTTGAAGTTGTTTCCATTATATACAGGGTTTACAGAATGTCTTTCAGCACCCCCCCTCCATATCAATTGTTCCAGCACCCCTGCTTACAGATGAATGTTAGTTCTAGCAGTTAGAAAAAGCAAAGTGAATCAGGTTATGTTCTTATACATCAATGAGGCTATAAACGTTTATAAACTGCTTGACACTGTACAGTCTAGTTTCAGACAGACTTGTGGTATGGAGATAACATTAGTCACTGTAAAGGACAATCTTCTCACTTGCTGATTATGTCAGATCTGTCAGGCTGTGGCCCTGACGGGAGGGGGATGGATTCACTCCTCAGTGGATGAAAATGTTCCTAAGTGGGAGTTCTCAACAAGTGGTGAGGGGCACCTACGTGCCATTACTAAGAGACTCTAACGCATGACACTGCAGGGTTCCATTCTACTTCTCCAGGTGTATATCGTATACATGACTTACATAATAATACCTACCATTCACACAGTGTAAATACTATCAGTGTTATTTACTGTCAAACCATCATGGATGGTATTTGATGGCACAGATCTATGTGGAAGTGATGGACAGCTGGTTTAAACTCAATCCAGAGCGACAATGTTCCTGTTTATGGCTCAGGGAAACATGTAATGGAACTCACAGGTATAATTTGTTGTCCCATTAATAGGGGATGAATCCACTACTAATGGGACAGGTGCAGAATGCAGGTATCATGCAAGGCTGCTCTCAACAAAAGCTCAGGGTATCTATTTCTATCTCTGAATTATTTGGAAAGTCCCCCCCTCTCCATGTACCCAACTGTAGTCATACAATTCCCATCATCACTTGCAGACAAGATTACTGTAATTCACTCCTTTTTGGTTTCCTGGTCCCTTGGATGCTACTCATACCATTAGCTACAGCATTTCTGCCTCTATTTAGCAGAATGGAAAACTGTTCATATCCATTCTCCACAAACAGTAAGCAAGCCAAGAGATACATTTCAAAATTTGATTGTTGATTAACCTTACATATTGCAGATTTCCCCCCGCCCCCATATGTGACATGAAATCACCTGGGTTGTTCTTCACTTTTCACCATCAGGTGAAACCCGGTTTGGATCACTGGAGTACTGAGATTGTCCATCAGATTTTGGGTGATCCCCTGAGTTACTTTATGACAACTTAATACCCTTTGTTTTTGTCTATTTTTTATAAATGCAGGTGATTTGAAAAGGGGCCACTGAGTCCAGGTTTCATGTCATTTTTTTAAATAGTGCCCAAGTTGAAGGAAGGTGAGGGCCTATTAACATTAGCTTTGATCATAGTAATTAGGTGCTGATTGGATAATAATAATATGCAAAAATAAATGTGCTGACATATTCCTAGACATAGTACATGCTTGTTTCCTATTGCTGTTTTATTGAATGACCCACACTTTCAACAACTATTGGGACCTAATTTCAGAAAGTACTGTGTTACAAATAAGGCTGGCACTAGACGGCACTAGACATCACTTAAAAACCAGTGAGCATAAAACATCAAATGTGAAACAATCACAAAATGTCAGAGGGTCAACTCTAACACAAACATTTTGGAGTTTAGAAAGGCTGACTTTGAAAGACTAAAAAATGCCCAGAGGATTTTATTTGAATTCTTTATTATATTGGGAATGTACTACAGAAGAGGAACATAAATTTAATAAAAAGAGCTGGAAAGACTAGAAATGGCAACAGATACTCACATAAAGAATACTAACAACAATATTGTTTATCTAAGGCTTTGAAATAAATATTTGTCTTCCAAATTGGTTGTATTACAGTATATCTAAAAAACTATCTAGAAGCTAGTTAAATGGATAATAGAGAGAACAAAAGAAATGCTGAATGCTAACTTCAGAAAATATTTCAACAAATCAAAGGATTCTCAATATACAGCAGTTCGGTCACATTAGGCAGAAAAAATAGTGGAGAAAATTGGTCAAGTAAAAATGATACCGGAAAATGGGAATGAGGAATGGCAGATTAGTTCTACAGTTAATTTGCTTTAGTCTTCACAAAGAAGAAATAGAATAAAAAACTGCTTAAGAAAGATATTTTCATGTAAGGCTGAAGGAGAAGAATAGCGGTTGAATAAATATGAAGCTTACAGCGAAAGAGCGTATGAAAGGTTTTAGACAGCTTTAAGATGCAAGAGACAAGATCCATGTAACAAGGATTTTTTTTAATTAAAGAAAAATAAATAAAGGGCCAACATCTTAAAAAAATGATGTTTGATAAATGAGGGACAACCTGTGAAAAACAAGACCTGAGGTCCATATTCAAATTCTGTTTGCACAGCAACCACCACCCCATAGGTTATAGACCTAAATAATTATTTTGTGCAACTGTGTATGTGCTATAATGCATGGACTTCAAGTCTCATTTTTTCCATGCATGGCCCAGATTTTTATTATGCCACCAAAGACATCACCTATTATTCTTTGGAACTTGGTTGAAGAAGAGAATTTGAGGGTTATTTTAATCCAGTTTTAATCTGAATCAATTATTGCAGTTCAAAAAGATGATGATCAATTGTCAAGATTCAGAAAAAAGTCCATCAGCTTTTTCTTTTTATTGCTCTTCGATTTTGGTGTACAGGAGTTTAAATACCGAGCGCTGTGCAGTCAAAGTACATCTAATCCAATGGAAATCAAGCTACTCTCTTGATTCTTTTAAATTTTAGGATTGATGACCCATTGGAAAAGAGCTCTAACTGCTAAGATCCATATATGACATGTAGTGAGTGAAAACATTTCTTACTTAAAGATGTCTTGCCATTGCAGCTTGTCAGGAGTATTGAAAAGAATTCAGGATACTTCCTCCAAATAGTTTGATATTAAAATCAGTGCTTCTGGTAATGGATCAAAATTAAATTCTACAGTTACTACTACTACTACTATCATCATAGAA